AGCCGCGTTTTAGGGTTGTGGGAGGAACCAGAGTGAGTTGCAGGGTGAGTTAGCCCCTCTGCTGCTTCGGCATTCTCGCCTCAGCTTTCTCTGTGAGCAGTGGGAGTATTGTGGGAGGTCGAGGAAAACTTCTTGCTTTCAAAACTCACTTTTGTTCAGGGTTTGGGCTGCCTGCGAGCTTTGTGCCTTTGTTGCGCTTTCTTGTGCTGAATGCCCGTGTCCCAGCAGGGCTCTGACGGATGAGAGCTGGCAAATCTTGCTGCAAAGACAAAATACTTTATCGCCCTGCCTTTCAGTCAGGTGGTTGTGATCTAGCAGCAGGGCTGGCAGGAGATGTCCGTGCCGGTGTCTCAGGACCTGTAAGTCCTTTTGGTGTGCTACTTTAAGCCATGGATGAGAATGTTATGAGTGCTGTGCCAAAACGGCACTACTGTCATCCAGCAGAGCTGGACCAGCTGTGGGGCTGGTACCTGTTATGCTCTGCAAACTCTGCTTTGGAAGTTGTCTGGACTGAGTGAACTGCTGAGATGCAACCATTTAAATAACTGTGGTGGCCCTGAGTTATAGCCCTGGACAAATAGTTCTTGCACTGCTCCGATCCTTTGTCTCTTGATGTTGTGAGTGCTGCTCACTGGGGGGGAGATGGGAGCACCAAGGGGAGTGCTGAACACATCCTTATAAACTTATTATTAATGTCTCCTTCAGGCCTGAAATTCCTCTTGCTAGTCTTCCATTCTGTTAAATGCTTCGCAAACCAGAGCAAAGGAAGAGACGTGAAGAGTTGAATTTCACTGCCTTGTTTGGAACTGGGTGGAAATCCTGGAGATGGATCTCTTAGGAGACTGTCTTCCAATTGGGTTAGATGCACAGGTAACAGTAAAGGGACTTGTGGCTTTTTTGGTAAATCTGCTTCTAACTGCTAAATGTTTGCAAAGAACTCTGAAATAGTGATTTAGGGTTTACTGGGGATTTTTTCCCTCCACCAGCTTTGTCCAGGTTTCTGCTGCAGCAGAGCTCAGGAGTGTTCACTATGGCAGCTACAGAAGTCCTGCTTTAAACACTGACACCAGCAATGCTTTTCCTTCAGTAGTAGGGTGAATTGGTGCACTGACAGTGCATGTAGGCTTTAGGGTTAGAGGGGTAATGAAGTGACTGCATTGCCAAGTTTGAGACCAAGTTCAGCTGAGGAAAGAAATGAGAACTTGAAAGGAAAGTTGGCCCTTATAGGGAGAAGTTAGGGAGAACTTCACAGAAATGGCTATGCCAGCTCTTGAGTTTTGCAGCCACTGGGTTTTCTTAAAAGTCTGGCCTTGCAGCCTTGTGATTACAAGAGCTTTTCTCCATCAATAAGTAGCAGATGGGAAAAAGAGAATGGGGAATACCATGAAGTTCAAATATAGTGGGCCAAAGCAAAGCAGAACCCAAATTGGCTGGCAATGGGACAATCTGAAAGATTGGGGTTGCTTTTTAAAACAATGTATTTTCAGTTTCTGTGTGCTGATTTTGGGGGTTCGCTCTCTCCTTGTGACCAGTTGTGGCATTGGAGCTGTGGGTGAACTCTTACACGTGTGTGAACTTTGTCTCCCTCTGGCTCAGCACTCGAGGACTTTCCACAAAGCCCTGACCTTCACCACTGAGTCACTCGCCACTTGTGCCCATGCAGATGGGTGGCACTGGGAGGGAGGGAGGCAGACAGGCGTGGAAAAAGAAGCTGTGCTTTATTGTTTGAGCAGAAGGCATTCTCTCCTGAACAACGTTCTTGTTGTGTCTTAGCCGTTTCCTTAAATGTTCCTTTATTGCAGGAGCGATGGATCGCCCCAGCTACCTGGAAGAGGACTATTCTAGCCTGGATGGGCTGGACGATGACGTGTTTCACTCTGATGACTTTGGACTTGCAGGTCAGCCTGGTGAGATGACTGCAACTGGCATTTTCACACAGAACCAGTCCTACAGCTGCCTTCTGGGGAGGTTTCAACTATTCCCCCTCACACACTGCTGTGGTCCCGGTATCAGGCATCCCGAGCAGCAGGACAAGGCAACTCAAACACTCAGCCCGTCCTCTTCCAGTCAGGATGTTATGTTGCCTTGTGGAGTCACTGAAGAGCCTCGGAGACTCTTCTATGGTAAGAGCACTCCAGTGTCACCAGCTTTGCAGCAAGGAAACTGTCCCTTTAGCACTTCCCCAGACAAGCAAGGTTTTTTTCATTAGGATGCTTTATTAAAGGACTGACATTATTTTGCTTTAGTCCTACTCCCTCAGGAATGACAGCTTGTATTTTCTTACTGTTGCTTGTCCACTGCAGGAACCAGTCACTTGCTCATTGCTTCTGCTGTCCTCGATATTCCCACTCTTTCTCTTTTTGGCTTTATTCTGTCATATTTTATTTCACTGCTAGATGTTTAAGTGGTCACCATCCCTCATATCCTACAATTTGCCTACATTTTTTAACTTCCAGTGCTGTTTCGTCCACATAGGAAGACTCCTAGAAGTTTTCAGTGGAGAGAAGAAAATGCTGAAGTTTACACTTATTGGGACAGCTTTTAGCCTCTACTGGAGTTAGTTGTTGAATAAGTATCATGTTCATCCAGTATTTTACTAGTAACTGATGGGATCCCACTCAGCTTTGTCTATCCAATTCAGCTTTAATTCAAATCAGTCCCACAAAATGCCAGAGAACTGAGAAAAGTCTGACAGAAGAGATACAGTAACCTTTAATGGGAGACAACTTGAGGCAGAGATCTTGTAAAACTGCAAAATTGTCATTAAAAAATAAATAAAAATCAGCACTTGGCCAAACTGTAAAAAAGCAAAAGGAACCAAGTGTAAGATCCTGTCAGTCATTTGATTATGGGAAGCAACACAATACTCTCCTTAATCAATATAAATCTACTTAAAAGCTGAGCAAATGTTTTACTGCATGCTTACAGTACACAGTCATTGCTTGGGCTGCAGGAACTGGACTTCAATGCGAGTCAAAAATTTAGGATTATGTGCAGCTCTTTCCTCCGTGAAGTGTACTGAGTTGAAGAGCTATTCTTTGCACTGAAAGAACGACTCTTCTGATCTCTGTTTGGTAGGGAATGCTGGTTACCGTTTACATGTCCCTCCAGTTGGCTTTCCATTGGATCCACACCTCCAAGAAGAGCCTCAGGAAGGTCAGCGGGAAGCGCGTGCCGAGGTGCAGATTGCACGGAAGTTGCAGTGCATTGCGGACCAGTTCCACCGGCTCCACATACAGAGGGTAGGGGGGCTCTGGAGGGGAAGGTGGGGGTTTCACTACCCAAGAGTGGTGCTCTAGAAGGCTGGCTCCAGGCATCAGCTAAGCAGGCTGTTGTATAATGCAGCAGACTGCCAACAGCGATAAAATGGCAGGAGTATCCTGCTGGGTGTTGCTTATGCTAGACTGCTGGCTGTTCCTAAAGACTGGCAGGTGGAGGGAAGAGAATGTGTGGAATTGCATTTACTGCCTGGGAATGTAGCTGTTCTGTGTTACCTGTTGCTCTTCCAGCTCTTCCAGTTCATCAGCAACAGAGTCACTGGGGCTTTCTCCAGGGATCTGCCCCTTGCTTTTTATTACAGCCTTTACTCTTCTCCAGGCCTCTCACCACCAGTGTCTTTTCTTCTGTGTCACAAGTGGCCATCTGTGGCTTTTATCACCACCTTATTTTGGAGATGACAAGAAGCCTGGAGTCTGTTTTGATACTCCATGTTGTCTATGGGTAGTTGTCTGAAATGTTGTGAAGTATATTTAGATCACGCTAGCAACTCCTCTGTCAGACAGTCCTAGCTAGTGTCTCAAACTTGTGACTAACTTCCTCACAACAAAGGACAGCTGTAAGATGCCATCAGGTCTGAAAACCACACTCCAGAATCTTGATTTTTTTTTTTAAAAAGGAAGAAACCCCACTTTTCAAAGAAACAAAATAAAACCAGCACCCCTAACCCCACTGATTCTTCCTTCACTGCCCTCCTTCCCCTGTTGAGTAGGTGCAAAATGGAAATCACAGCCCATACGGAGTTTAGCAGAGGTTTGGCAGTAGGCAGCGCTTTGCTGCTTCTGTGCAAGCTCAAGAAGGATAGTGTACCTGCTTGCATATGAGGAAGCTGACACTCTTGGTGACTTCAGGGAGGGACAGAAAGCTTATCTCACTCCAAGTGGGTTGGTGCTGTTAACTCTGGTATGTGTGGCAGTTCTTCTCAGAGGTAAGTGAGCATCTGTGTTTTGGTCAGAGAATGTGGCTTGTGGCTGAGCAAAAGTTTGTGTCATGACAGTGACAAGTGAATTCCAGGACTCTCCGTCACCAAACACCAGGAGGATTTACAGAAGCCGCAACAGGAAGATTAGCCTGTAGAAATGTAGGTGGAGCTATGAATATAATTTAGCAGATTGCAGGAATAACAAGCTACCAGGCAATTTTCAGCAAGTGTTGTGTGTGACTGAATGGGGGTTTTCCCCAGTGCCACCTTCTCACCAGCAGCAGCCAAAGTCCCCCCTCTCTCCCCCCTCCTCGCTCTCTCCAGCCAGATCCCCACAGGAAAGGGCAGGTTAACCGTCTCCTTGGAGGAGCCCTGGCGTGAAGCGGTGGAACTGGTTGTAACTTGACCCCCTCCACCTCGGGGAGCCTGTCTACCCCATGGCTGTACCGTGGAGACGGCCCGGAGTGCCCACCCGAGCCAGCCCCGGGGCGACCGGCCCGGCCGGGGCGAGCGGCCCGGCGGGGTACCGGGGGGGCTGGCAGGCCGCACTCCGGCCCGCCAAGCCGCTGGGAGTAAACAAACGCGTCCGCCGGCCGCAGCCAGCGGAGGAGGAGCTGGGCTGCCTTTGTTTGAACTGGAAGAGCAACAAGTTGTAAAGGGGCGGGGAGGACCTAAAAGGCCGTTCGGCCATTTAGATTTGAAAACAAAACAGGGCGGGGGGGGGAACCCAACCCGAAAACTTAACCCGAGTATGGGCTAGTTCAGCCAGTGGTTCTCCACAGCCTGACCCTGGGGTAGGCTTTGGCATTTGGATTTGTTAAGGGATTCTTTCTTGTTTGTCAGGAAAACTGATTACTGAGCCGCACATTAGTGTCCAAGGCAGTGGTCTCCGTGGAGTGTTTTGTTGTCATGCCCAGTCCTTTCCCTCCCAGCCCTGCATGGAGGATTTCCTTTGGCTTTTGGCACAGATCTCCTATGCAGAAGCTCCTCTTGTCCTGTCTGCAATGACTTCCCAGTGTGTTGCTGAAGAAGCAAGCGGTCTGACCCTGGAGACACGTGAACTGGTTCACAATGTGTTGTGGTTTGGAAGGGATAGTCCCTGAGACGTGGAAAACTGGGCTGTCGTTTATCTTGCTGTGAAACTAATCCCTGATTTGGATGCCCCATTCCAGTTTGTCTCAAACATTTGGTCAAAACCAACTTTCCAGAGTGGTGTCTTGAATCAGATTCAGAATACCACAAAGTTAGTCACACCAGTGTGGTCTTGTGAAGTCCTGAGGGAGAGCAAGCCTGGTTTTCCACAAGCTATGCCTCTCTTTTGAGCCTCCAAAACATCTTGCCTGTGAACCTGTGAAAATAAAACCTATGTGTCCTTTCAGTGGGAGTTAGGAAAGGCTTTAAAAATTGGAGTAATGCATCCAGCTAGCTCCAGAGTTGCTCTCTCATGGCTCTTGAGTTCTGTGAAACTCTCCAGCAGTTCAGGTATGGCTCTCATTCTGCTGCCGCAGCAGCAGCAGCAAAGCTGTGTTGACACAAAGGCCACTGGTTAATGTACATCCCTGGCCAAGAGAGGAACTGAGCAGGGAATAGCTGCTGAGGCTGACATCACTGAGTTGTCATTGGACTCAGCTGCATGCACGGTGTAACCCCATTCCACACTGGGAACCCTGGAGAGTCACTGTTATCTCTTTCTCGGGCTCCTGGAGCTATGTGGTATTTGTTTTGTGGTTCTTGGCTATACAAAAGATTTTTGGGTATGCATCTCGTAAGAATAAGAAAGTTGGCCGCACCTATGCTTGCTTTTGGCATGTACACCATTTTCAGGGTTTCATTTCCTACTAATATATTAAACAGAATACAGTAGTTTTAAAACCTGGCTTTTTTCATCCTTAGAACAGTGCTAGAGCAATAACGCAACATTCCCTAGCACTCTGCAGCTTTCATCTCCTAAAGATGCTGAATTTGTTGTAGGAAGGACTGGAGCAACACTGTGTTCTTAAGTAGCAGAGCATGCGGCAGGTCGATCCAGCACTTTGCAAAAGGCTCTGCACAATGACATGTGAGACCAGACCCATCTATATTTTCTTGAGCTCTTCAGTGCCTCTTACCTATCTGAGGCTGCGTAGCTTCTGGCAATGTTCCCTCTGTTGCGCTTTTCTCACCCTGCCTCTGGAAAACAAAGGTAGAGCCAAGCCATGCTTTCTGTGGAAGAACCCAGTACCTGGCTGGGAGGAAGTGTGCCTGTGAACTGTTGGCTGTAGCCCAGCCTGTAGCTGAGCTTAAATGTTGCACTCTGAGGTTATGGAGGGTTGAGCAGAGCTGAGCTTAGGGGATCTGCTGGTCAGCTGGCTGAGATGCACTGCCTGCACTCCATGTGTCCAGGCAACAAGTGCTTGGGCTCTGCTTCAGGTCCTGAGTGCACTTGAGCTCCCTCACCTTGAAGGGACTTCAACCTGTGCTGAACCAGCTGTGTATTTCATGATCCAGCGTGCTGCTAGATGGGATGTGAGTAGACAACCAGAGACAGCAGCAGCATAAAGCTGCCCCTATAGGAGCATGGGGTTATACAAGAGTGGGGTGGTTGACACTGTACATCAGTATCACACCCCTTTGGCTGGACTTGCTCCACTGAGACACTGGAGCGCTATGGCTTTTTCCAAATAACTCTTTCTAAGCAGGCTGCAGCCTTGAGGAAACTGTTTTTATCACATCTCTTCTTCATGGCGATAAGATCACAGGGGATAAAATTGTCTCTTTAAGAGCCAAGGAGTGGTAGCCTTTAACAGTTCTGGGCTCAAGTCCAAGCAGAGCCACTGACTTGCTGTATGACCTCAGACAAGTCTCTTGACCTCCTTGTGCTTCAGTCAACCCATCTGGAAAGCTCAGTTTAAAAAAAGCTGAGCCTCAATGAGAACCAGATGCTAAATCAGAGCTGAGCTTTCTTGAGTAAATAAGTGCGTTACAAACAACAACAAAGCTTCTTTCCAACATATCGGGAATCCTGCAGTTGATTTAGATATGCTGACCATGCTCAAAAAGCCTCCGTGGATCTAGCTATAGAAAACTTTGTTTCTAAAAATTCCTCACTTGGTTCAGCAAGCAACTCTCTCACCTTCACTGCAACAAGCTTGAGCAGCTTGTGGAGCCTGAATGCCTGTATCCAGACTGCTAGGCATGTACCTGTTTGCCTCAGGTTAATGACACTGAAAATGTCTAGGAGGAAATGTTGTTTTCCTTTGAAAGTGAAACGTGTAATGTTTTGCATACTTTTTCCCCTCTGTCTCTCATGAGAGTTATCAAAGCCTCCTCTGAGACACTTCTGCTTATGCAACAGGGAGCCCATGTCTCTTGTTGGAAACTTATCGGCCTGCGAGAGTGGGCGCACAACACTACGTGTGCATCACTTACCTCAGACTCCATCAGGCTTTTCTCCATTGTTTATTGGGGACGCTCAGGGAGTTTTTTAACTGTTGCTTTTTTAAACTGGAATTGTTTGCAAGAAACTGGCTTTCATGGTGATTTTACATTTCAGGAAAAACATTCAGAAAAGCTTCCTTAATAATACAGTGCAGAGACTCTCAAACTGTCCTGCAGCTAAGCCTGTAGCACTTATTTCACTTGTACCTGCAGTCTCTTTGAGACCTGGGCTAAGTGCTTTCCCGAGTAGATCAGTATGCTTCAGGATCTTCTCTGATGGCCAGTGCTTGCTGGTCCCTGCTGTGGCTGCACAAAGCAGTGGCTCTTCTCTTCAGCTCTGTTGTCTGTGGGTTGCCCATTGGTGCAAGACTTGAATTTCCAGCTAAGGATGCAGGAGCACGGCAAGGGAGAGTGCAAGGTGGAGAACCTCTGAAGTGGGTGAGCTTGGTTTAGAGGGCGGGGTTAGGATGGGTATGAGGTTGGGAGGATTGAGAAGATTGAGGTGTAAAGCAAAGTTCTTGCAGGACTATGGAACTGGGATCCTAGGCTTGAGAAGACGATTGTGCCATAGAGGGAAAGGGAGTTCACACAGTCAGTGGAGTCAGGATAAGGAAGTGGAGACAAACT